ATTCAAATTTCTGTTTCCTTTTCTCCCTCCTTCCCTCCCATTTTTCTTCTCCTTCTACAGAGAAGTTGCAATGCATACTTTCATAGAATAGACCCCCTCCTTCCTCTAAAAGATATTTGAGAGATGGAAAAGCACGACATAAAGCCTACACACAAATACAGAATGGGAAGTGAGTGACTGAATGAGATCATTCTTTCAGAGAGATAGCTGTCACATCTCACCATTAAGATGTGGTGTGCTTGCCATAATCTTAATTCAAATGAACAAATCTGAACAGAAGAATTGCTACTAAAATTCCTAATGAAACATCACAATTACTTTCTTGCTCTCCGTAAAAACAGCAGTATGTAGATGACAAAGAAATTAAAGACAAATATGTTTACAATCTTTTATTTTTCAATTTCACAACTTTTTTCCAAATTTGGAAAATAATCACTTCAGAGTACAAGCTAAGGTTTAGAACTGCTGTATTTAAAAAGAAATTCACTGGCATCACATACTTTGTATACTGCACAAGTGTATAAATTCACATTCCTAGGCCATTGAAATTCAAATTACACATCAATTCGGAGGGCAATTTTGCATTGGAAAACATTCCGTTTTCAGCCTTGGTTCTGAGGTGGAGGATGGGTCATCACAGCTTCTATTCTTTAATTTCAGGAGATCTACTTACCATTTGCAAATGGGTTGGCCATCTGGTATTTGTGCCAATAGCACCTTGGCTGATCTGTCTGTCTTCCTTTGGAATAGTGAGCGACACAGTTCTGCAAGTCAATGTGTTCTGTACAGATATGCAGACTCCAGTGGGCACCTCATTTGGTATAGCATAGGAAGGGTTTTTGCTTTCACAGGGAAAGAGGCCCAAGTGTAGTTGTTGTCCTTACATTGATATCTGTGTCCTACCATTCTTTCCTCTGTGTACAGGAAAAAAAATATTGATCTACCAAAGTAGCACAGTCATAATGATCACTGGCTCAGTCATGTGCATGGGTGGTCACATGACTTGTGAGCATGGTGATAGAATGGAGTGAAGGGTCCAGCTGGCCACAGACTACCTTCCACTGTGAGCAAGTGACAGACTATTGAGTTTTCAGCAGAAATGAACATCCTAGTCATACTGAAATATCCTATTTTTCAAAATTATATCATTTTTTAAAAAGTAACAGATGGGACAAATCCAGCATGACTGCTGGTCAGTTTCACCTGGAGCCAGCCTATAGCTCTACAAAGAACACCAGGGGAGAAAAACAAAGCAAAAGTTCAAGGGTATCAGAATTAATCTAGGTTTTTTTAATAGAATGGACTGCTAAGTAGACACCCTGTGTGCTTATGTGTAATCACATATCTGTATGGTAGGTTTGTAAGAAACTGGTATACTGGGACACAGTACCAAGTATATAACATTTTGTGGTGGAGTTAATGCCACCCATACATTTGTTGCAACTAAGGAAGGAAATTATAAAGACAATGGATGTCTGATGTCACCACATTGCAGTCTGCAAAGATGATAGAGCTATCAAGGACAATGTAGGAAGAGGAGAGATAATCCATATACAAGGCAACAAGGCTGAATGAGCCAGTAACACAATGCAACAAACACCTGAACTTACTAGCTTACAAAGGCTTACTTTGGTTCACAGTTTTGGATGGCACCATTGCTTTGGGTCTGCAACAGGGCACACGCTATGGTGGGTGTGTATTGAACAAAGCTACTCACCTCATGGCCATCAGAAGCAAAAGGAAGGGAAAGGAAGTGGAAAGGTTTGAACATCCCTTCAAAGGAATCACGCCCACCTACCTTCAAGAGCTCCCACTAGCCCCTGTTTCTTAAGGTCTTATGGGCTTTCAGTGGTTCCACCAGCTGGGAACCAAATCTTAATACATGGGCCTTTTGGGGACACTTATTTAAACCAGAGCAGCAGTCAAACATAAAGTTCTTTTGTGAAAGTATCTTTTGTTTGTTTTAATTTCAATGACTGTGAAGTCATTTGTGTTCAGAATGAACCAGATTAATGTGTCTCAAAGTCTTTGCCTTGAGCCCTCTCCCTAGAAACTAGATTGCTGCTCCCTCTGCCCATCCATTATCCTCCCACACTCCAGCTTTGAGAGAAATCTAGAGAATACCCCTCTTGCTCACATGCTACCCCCCTTTCTGGGTCCTGGTCCATGGGCTCACTGTAGTCAGTCACTCTTTTTATGCTTGTAACTTGAAAAGCAAAAAGCATTCCATTCACACAGTTAGTCAATTCTGAGTGTGTTCTCCCTGTATTATTTTTTTAAGAGGGGAATTTCCCCACGTGAGAGAAAGACGAATCTGTATTCATACTGCTTTGTGAATTCTAAAATGTGTTTGGGGGGATACAATTCAAACACTAAAATAATCCATTTCATGCATATTAATTGGTTTTTGCATGAAAACAATTCTTGTTCACGGGAGACATTTGGCAAGTTTGGAGTCCAGGGAAGCGTTCTAAACAGCAGTGAGGGAGAAAGGGAGGCAAATGTTGCACCTTGTTGGCAAGAGTGAGGGCCACAGCACGGGCTCCTGTTTCTTCTTTTTCATCAGTGCAAGAGTCCCCTGGTCCCCTTGCCTGCTGGTGACCACTCTTCCCTGTCAGAGTCAGGTTTGAGTTTAGTCTGTCTCCATTCTCTCTCCCAGGACCAGTTCATGTCCACCAACTGCTATGAGATATCTCTGTGCTATTATTTCTCAGGGTCATAGTCATCCGATGAACACTCATGTCCTATGGACACACACACACACACACACACACACACACACACACAAATTCCCATCAAATGGTTTAAACAAAGGGGCATTGTTCTGACTAATTTACGTCAACGTGACATAAGCAAGAGTCATTTTGGAAGAAGAAACACCAGCTGAGAAAGTGCCTCCACCAAATTAGCTTATGGGCAAACTTGTGGTGCATTTTCTTGATCAATAATTGATGTGGGAGTACCTAACTTGCCGTGGGTGGTGTCATACTTGGGCTGGTGGTCCTGGGTGCTATAAGTCAGTGAGCAGAACCCTCCATGGCTCCAGTTCTCAGCTCTAGGCTCCTTCCTTGAGTTCCTGCCCTGACTCCCTTTGATGATGGACTGTAAGGTTGCAATGAATTCTCATCTCCCAAGCTGCTTTTGATCATGGGGCCTTATCATAGTGGCAGAAACTTAACCAGTGCAGATATCTATTAACTCATATATCACTCACAAACGAGGTGAGCAAAAGGTGTCACACCCACAGCCTGGGACTCTATTTGTTTGCTTTCCTGTCTCTTTCTGCCTAGGACTCATGGCAGCTTTATTTGTCATCTGGTAAGGAGACAGCTCCCACAGCTTCAGTATGTAGATCCTCATGCTTGGTGTCCAGAGGAAGGTGAGAGGATGAGTCCTCCCATTGACTCTTTAGAAACATTAGTTTACTTATTTTTGAGTGTGTGCTCACACGTGCACACACTCACATGCATGCCACATGTATGTGGGCCCTGTGGAGGTTAGAAGAGGGTGTTATATGTCATGGACCTGGAGTTGTAAATTTCCTGATGTGAGTGCTGGGATCTGGACTCGGGACCTCTAGAAGATTATCAAGTACTTTAAACCACTGAGTCCTCTCTCCAGGCCTCTGTAATCTATTCTTATAAGAAGAAAAGTGACATGTTTTTTCTTTTTAAAGCCCACAAAACACTTTCTGTGGCCTTTCTTGGTTTAAAATGAAACAAATACATTCCTCTCAGGACCCTTCCTATGCCGACTGTACATTATTGAATGCATTCTTCCCAGGACACTTCCCATGAAAAGAACATATACATTCCTGAATGTATCCTTCCAGGACCAGTCCCATGCAGAGGCTGGTTTAAACTTCCTATGCCTAAAGTACACAGAGCAGCTGTGATGAGTCTGAATGTGGTGATATCTTGATTGTATGAATAAAACTTGTCTGGAGCCGGGCGTTGGTGGCGCACGCCTTTAATCCCAGCACTCGGGAGGCAGAGGCAGGCGGATCTCTGTGAGTTCGAGGCCAGCCTGGTCTACAGAGTGAGTTCCAGGACAGCCTCCAAAGCCACAGAGAAACCTTGTCTCGAAAAACCAAAAAAAAAAAAACAAACAAAAAAAAAAAACAAACTTGTCTGGAGATCAGATGGTGGAGCTTGCTGCTAACTAACCATAAAGGTTAGGAGGTCTGCACAGACAGGAAGTGAGATGGCTGGGCAGACACAGGAAATGAGATGGGTGGGCAGAGACAGGAAGTGAGATGGCTAGGCGGAGAAAGGATATAAGCAGGAAGAAACAGGAACTTGTTTGCTCTTCTTTCTGCTGTGAAGTTAATGAGGTAAAGATGGCTTTGGCTTGTCCTTCTCTCTGATCCCTTAACATTTTCCTCTATGTATGACTCCAAGTTTCTATTATTTAGACCAATTAAGAACTCCATTTACATTCTCAGCTCTACCACATTTTGCACACTGCAGTTCTAACTGTGGTCTTTTGTTCCTTTATTATTGTAAAATAAAACCTATAAAGAATAAAATCTAACTTAACTGCAAAAAATGGTATAAAACCTCAATTTTAATATAAAGGGGAAGTAAAAGAAATGTATAATAAAATAAGTTGCTTTAGGCAGGTGGTGGTGGCACACATCTTTAATCCCAACACTTGGGAGGCAGAGGCAGGGAGATCTCTGGAGTTCAAGGCCAACCTGACCTATAGAATGTGTTCTAGGAGAGCCAGGACTGTTTCACAGAAACCCTGCCTTGAAAAATTTAAAAAAAATTCAACAACAACAAAAAGTTGTGTTAGTTTGTGCATGGTGAGAAACAATCATACCAGAACCTGACTGCTCAAATGGTGTTCCATGGACAACCAGCAGTGGCAGCAGCAGCAGCAGTAAGAGGTGCAGTAGCAGTAGGCACAGCAGCAGCTGGGCACTTGTTATCAAACAGAGTCTCCGTCCCCAGCCTGGACTCACTGAATAAGGATCTGCATGTCAACAACATGCCCACCTGACTTGCGTGTGCATGTGAGATCCTGCATGAGGCTCCATGAGGTAGTCAGACACTTCTCCTGTGCAGATGGCAACTTCCAATGTGACTGTTGCAGGGGTGTTGCAGAAGCAAATCACACACAGTAGGGCTCTGACTTTGGGGGAGTGATGAAAAGCTCTTACAATCTGAACAAAACAAAAGACAAGACCTTCTCATTTTTCTTTCTAAAGAAAACAAAGTAAAATGAATACTATAAAACATATCCTGTATCTACACTAGTATATTTATATATTATATAATTTTATGTTTAACACTAGCCTTCATTTGGGATCATGAGAGAGAAGTTGAAAGCCTACTTAGAATCCTGACAAGTGTTGAATTTATCCATAGTCTTACTGCATACCCCACCCCCACTCTTCTTGAAGGAAAAAACAAATTCCTCTGTTTTGCTCTTTCTTTGTTTCATAAGCAGGAATGTCCTAAAGGTGCTCTGGGATCCCACTCAAGGCTACCTGCAGCAATGAGTTAGTTGCCTGGGAACACACTGACTCTGGTGAGAGATGCTTATCCAAACACGATTCCTAGTGGTAATGGTGGCTTTTGTCCTTCAACAAGAAGAAGACTGCTAATTCTCATGGACCCCCAAGCCCCCAAATTACTTCAATAAACATCCGAGATGTCAAATACAACTGCTTGATCACAAAAAAATGGGGAAAGAAACAAGCTAACAAAAAAAAATGAAAGCAACAAAATGTCAAGGCGGCTTGGCAATATATAACAGGGCTGGAATTCATGTAGAGAAGGGCCGAAGAGGCCCGTGCCAGAAGCTGTGATGAGCAAGCCTCACTTGCAGTCGAGATCTGGATCTTAGAGATGCTGGAATTAGGGATACCTGCTAAGAAAAATTGCAGACACGAAGTGGAGTTGGTCCAAGAGAGAAGTGCTTTGGGCAACAGAGGCCTGGATACCCAAGCCCTTTGGGACTTATATGTACAACCACATGCAGAGTTGAGTCTGGGCCACAGATTATGTTTACCCAGCTGGGCTTTTAGAATGGGAGTGTTTACTCTAGCATTGTGTCTTCCAGTATGTACCTTCTCTGATTTTACAGGCTCACAGATAAGATAGCCCAAGTCTGGGAAGGGACTTAGGACTTGGCAGCGCTGGGACTGTTGACTGGAAACTCCTAAAGATAGATGAAATGTGCTTTGCCTTGTGGGATAGGGGTTAGGGCAGATTTGTTTTGGTCGGGTCTGAAATGTACCTCTCATGATCATATATGTGGACAATTAGGTAATGGAAGTATTGGGATAGGCTGTAATGCAGTGGTTCTCAACCTTTCTAATGCTTCAAACCTTTAATACTGTGGTGACTCCCAACAATACAATTATATTCATTGCTATTTTATAACTGTTTGATACTGTTATGAATCCTTTTAGCCTATAGTGGTATTTCTTGAAACCCCCAAAGATATTTTAAATTGTGTTTATTTATTTAAAGGGCTACAAACACATGCGGTCCCTTCAATGGAATTCAAGATTCTAAGTACTTTTCCCAGCCTAGGCTACCTGTTACAGGAATCTTAATGTAAATATTTGATGTGCAGATGATCCTTGGTTACCTCTGTGAAAAGGTGGTTTGATCTCCAGACAGGTTGTGACCCACAGGTTGGGAACTACTATTGTAAGGCCTTGCTGGTGTAGAAGATTCACTGGACAGATAGTATGCCCTGGCTGGTATACAGGTGAGTCTGTAGGGTGAGTCTTTGATGATTTTAGTCCTGTCTGGCTTCTGGCCTGTTCTCATTCTGTTTCTGAATTCATGAGGATGAGAGGAACTGTTTCCTCATGCTCCTGACACTTTGCATGGATTTGCACTGTGTCCGCATCTGCCACAACGTCATGAGCTACCTATGGCTGAATTGTGAGCCCAGCTGCATCTGTCTTCCATAACATCCCTTCCACCCGGTACTTAGTCACCGTGACGAGAGCGCTGGCTAACACAAAGGCCGATGTGAGGAGAAAAGATGGACAAAGCAGGTTATGAGGAAGTCTGGATGAGTGGAAATCCAAAGAGAAGAAGCACTGAGAGGAAAGTGAGGCATCAGAATCACCTAGGATGGACAATGACTACGTGCAGGGATGTCTTTATAGTAATCACATTTTTATTAAGTAATCTAACTTGCAGAAATCTAGCCTGTAAGATTCTAAAACTGTTGCAATCAAGATTCATGATAAGTGATTGTACTGAAGCATACTTTTATAACAAAGATTATATACAACATAAATGCTCCAAAATAGGGGATTTTTAAAGGTAAGTCATGGAGCAGCCATACAATTAAGTATTAGGCGATCATGAAATTATGTTTATGAAGAGCTTTTAGTGGGCAGAAAAAATGCTTCTAAGATAACATAGTGTTAAAATAGCATACAAAATTTTATATGCAGTATGAATTCAATTATTAATCATACGTACTCACTGAAAATGCTAGAAAGAAGCTGAGATCCTTGGCATAGTTCCCTTTAGGTTACATAGTTGTGGCTAATATATTTTGCCCCTCTACTTTCTTCTAAACTGCATTTCCTCTCTAGGCAAAAACGTTAAATATTTCTTAAGTTGAGTTGAAAACTCTTTTATCTAGGTCCTTGAGTCTCCCCAGCTCTTACCCAGGTCCTTGAATCCTACCAAGCCTTTGTAGAAATGAAAAGGTGAACAGGTAACATCTTTTTTCACAGGAGAGTGTGGAAGATTCGAATAGAGAATCTAGTTAGACCTTTGCTTCTACCTGTGATGTGTATATCACCGCCCCAATCTCCAGAGAAGTAGATCACTCGTGTCCCCTTCATATTTCCTAATGAAGTCCCCTGTGTCACATGACACCCACTTCCATTTCCTCCTGTGCCAAGTGAGTAAACTGTTGAAAAGATGACAGTTTCACTAAGCACTATGCAAACTGGGACAAGTGCATTCTTGCAAGGATGAGAGCAAAGAGAGTGGAGAGAGAAGAGAGAGAGAGACTGTGGAAACAGGAGTTTGTGTAATGGTCACTTCCACAGCACTGGTCATGGTCAGTCACACAGGAACTGTGACAGTTGCTTGCGCTATTTACCTGCGTAGTTTAGAAGAAGTGGATTGAAAAAAATATCTTTGGTGTGCTCAAACAACATATGCAGATGTACTGGTTGGTTTGTATTTTCAATTCTGCAAAGGTTAGAGTCATTATGGAAGGGAGAACTGTTGTAATTTAAGAAAAGCAACTCATGAGAAAAAGACACCATGTGACAGTGTAAATGGATGTTTCTGTTCTGCCTGGTCCTGCAGCTGTTTGGACCCAAATAAACACACAGAGGCTTATATTATTAATAAACTGGATGATGGCTCAGGCTTCTTATAGGCTGGTTCTCTCCTAATTCGTTTCTATTCATCTGTGTATCTCCATGTGGTTTTGGCTTACCAGTGATGTTCAAGTGCCCTACCTTCCCAGTAGCTACATTGCATCTCTCTTGTGACTTAATCTATGTGTCCTTCTTCAAGTCTTCTCCTAGTCTGTTAGCCCTGCCTATACTTCCTGCCTAGCTGCATCATGCCTGCCCATTGGCTGAAGCAGCTTTATTCACCAACCAATAAGAGAAATGTATTCAAGCATACAGAAGGACATCCCTCACCAACACAGGGTTTAAACAGAGTTTTTTTTTGGTTAGGGAAAGTAATCATAAAAAAGGGGTAAGGGGAGAGAGGAGACCAGCCTCCTGGGACAGGAGGGAAGAAAGAGAGGTAGAGAGAGGAACAGAAAGACAGACAGACAGAGGGAGAGAAAGAAAAAAAGAAAGACATATATAGAGAGAGAAGAGAATAGGAGGTAGCCAGGGTCCCTTTAAAAAGGGAACATAGTGAATATACACAGGTGGTGCTCTTAGTGGCTGCAGCTGAGGGTGTATCCTGTCAAAACCCCAAGGACAAGCCAGTACAGATGCCTGAATACTGACATGAACCTCAGTTGGGAAAATGCCCCCACCATATTGGTCTGTGAGCAACCCTGTGATACATTTTCTTGATTAATGTTTGATGTGCCTGGACCTGTTCCACAGGGTGGTGCCACTTATGGGTGGGTAGCACAGTGGATGATGGTATAAGCAATCAGGGTAAGCAAGCCATAATGAGCAAGCCAGTAAGCAACACTCCTCTATGGCCTCTGTATCAGTTACTGCCTCCGGATTTCTGCCTTGATTCCTGTTCTGACATCCCTGAATGATAGACCAGGGAAATAAGATGAAAAAAAAATCATCTTCTTACAAACTTGGTTTTGGTCATGGTGTTTCATTGAAGCAATAGAAACTCTAAGACAACAGAATGTGTGCTTTTTACATGGGGTCTCACTCCCTCACCTTGCCCTCCTCCACTAGTGCAATATAAGCCCCAATGATGCTCCCACAGAATCCTGTCATGCAGAGACAGTCACTACCTTTGTCCATTAAATTAGTGGCACCACCAACTTCTGAATCTTGTTCATGAGGCAAGTTTCTATCCTCTTTCAACTCATTTACTTGCTTGGTGCTCTTTGGGACTCTGCCCAGCTTCCAGATGCACCCTGAAAGCCCACAATGTTATTCTAACATTTGCTGGTTATGTGATTTCATCCATATTAGTAATTTTTCTGAGCCTTAATTTCTTCATTTATAAAGTGTGCCTAATTGTAGCTACTTATGGCTTGAGTGGATTAAATGATTTGTCATACAGAAGGTTTGTAACAGTCTATTACACAGAAGAAAAATCAAAGAGCTTGGTTCTTTGCCATTCTCTTCTTCCTCCCACCTTCCCTTCCCACTTACTAATTTACAAAGATTCTCTTGGCTGCTACTTTCTATGGGAAGCCATACTTTCTTTTGTGTAAATACTACCCAACCCTTCACATAACCAGGACTTATGTTCCATGTACTTCCCTGGGATACTTCTGTACATTTATAGAACTGTATTCCTTCCTTTTGGAATGTCTGGATATTTAGTGTGTGTGTGTGTGTGTGTGTGTGTATGTGTGTCTACATATTTATGTGTACATACACACATGTGTATGATTATGGGGATCAAACAGAGAGCTTTGTATATACTAGGCAAGTGTTCTACCAGTGTGTTATATACAAGCCCCTATAATCTATTTTAATTGACTAAGAACACACTCCTTCCGAGC